TAATTCCGAATATTGGTTGTAGTTCTTCCTCCACTTTTGTTTACTGTTCTTTTCTGAGAAAAAATTTTATAATTTTGGAATTTCGAGGTTTGATGTTGTCCTTGCTGCTTTGTAAGAGCACCAAGTTTAAGTGAGGCAGATCATACTGAAAATATCTTTGCATTAAAGAAGTTTTTTTAGTTTGTCTTTAATTATTACTAAACGTGTTAAGTTTATGTATATTACCAAAAATTTACTTTTAAAAATTTAGATTTAAAGTTTTAAATATGAAAATATGCAGAGTCATCATAATGGTTGTTTATACTATAAATATTGTTGATATTATAAAATTTTATTTACAGTTTTTAAAATATTCGAACGCAGCATTTCAAAGCCCATTGTTTCTTTATCCACATTGATTTAAAAGACCTAAAATTTTCTGTAAAGACTTGCTTATTTTTGAAATTCTCTTCAATTAATTTTATCTAATTTAATAATGAGGTGCACGTCATTAATTAAGAGTCTCTTAATTAACGTTTAAAATTTTTTACGATGTTTAATTGCTTTTTCGTTTGTAAATAACCTTGTCCCTCTTCGTTTTTTTGCATGGTTACAATTTATGTTTTATCTAAAAAGTTTAATATTCTAAATACCATTCTTTATTTATTAAAGATATTTGATATTATATTTCGTCACGATCATTTCACAATCACCTTAATTATTTTTTCATGTTGTTAGATATTTAAAAAAAAACATCACTATTTTTATCACAATAAAACAAACAATAAAAACTATTTTCTAAATAATTAAGATAGTATCTTAAAGTAATCAGAATTTTTTTTTTTTTTTTTCAAAATTTGATATATAAGGAAAAATGGCGAATTTTTTTTTTCATTTTTTTTTTCAAGTTTCTCATAACATGAAAAAATGATTACGGCAATTGTGAAATGATCGTGACGATTTGTTTTCCGATCTATCTGTCTTGACCTCGATATGAAATGCAATATTCTGAATATTTATTTATTATCCGAGGCAGTTTATATGTGTTCAACATATTTGCTCTAAGATATAGTTGTCATTTTTATTTAATTCAAACTTGTTATTAAAGCTTATAGGAGAGATATTGTAATTGTAACGATACATGAAAATTAAATGCTGATAGACATTTATTTCAAACACATTCATCATTTTCATATCACTCAATAAGGGTTTAGCGTGTTCACGCCTATCCTTATAGTAAATGATTCTGCAAGCATGTTTTTGCAAACTATACAGTTTTTTAAGCTTTGATATTTGAGTACTTGCCCATGAAATGTTTGCATAGCTGATAAAGCTATGTATTAGCCCGTTCTAACCATAATTAGACATCTTTTCTCTTAAAAATGGATAATTAGGGTTTTTTTCTTACATTAATTACAAATATAGGGCAAAGAAAGAAAGAATAAAAATATAAAAGTTTCTATTAATGAAAAAAAAAAAATCAGGTTTCAGTCTAGAAAAGGGGCAAAAACTGTTCACACAATAACTTATTATAGAATAAGCACTGTTGTTTTTTAAAAATGTAAATTACAATCTGTGCTACTTTGACATTCAAACCATTAAATCAATGAAGATTTTTTTGTAGGTATATTACGGCTGTTTTTGTCCCGATTTTTATATAAGAGAGCGCAGCGCTAAGCGGAAAAACTGGAATACTAGCAGCCTTTTGCTATATAAGTAATAACCAATTGTGGAAAATTTCAATAAGTTTTGTATAGTGATACTTCGCAAAAGGTATAACCAAAACAACATTATCCGGTGAAGCAATTTTATATGAGTTATAAGTAATTAAAAAAAAATCGAAAATATCCTTTACAAAGTAATTAACTATTTATTTAATTACAATAATAATAAATTATATATTTGTATACAATATATAATTTATTATATATAAATATATAATAAATTATATACTTGTATGATTTCTAATAAAAATAATTAATTTTGATACTAAATAAATTATTTTATAAAACAGTTATATTACCACGTACTGATTTCAAAATAAACAAAATTTATAAGTAAATGATTGTTAAAAATGGCGCCTCTGAATTTACTAGTCTGACAATATTTGTCAACATAAAATAAAGAAGAACTTAATGCGATCCAGGACTATCGGATTAGCCATTAGCAATGTAACTGTTTTCGTCTATATACCTTTTTTTTAAGGCACCTTCAAACTTTTTTCTGATTTTTTAAAATATCAGATGGTTGTTTACGGTGAAATAAATGATAAAAAATATAATAATAAACTTGATTCATTTTTTCAAAAAAAAATCACGTGGAATGTTTAAACAATTAAGAACATTCCCAAGACCATTAATACTATCGTCGAAACTTATAATGGCAGGATACAGACAAACTTTACGAACTCTTCTGCAATAAATGGATTTGGACCAGCGTGCCGAAATAATTCTATATAAACAATCAAGTAACAGACAAGTACCATCAAAAGCCAACAACTTATCACAAGAGTTCAAAAATAATCGGCTTCCATCACCCAGGAATGATACTATTTACTTATTAAAAGTTTTAGCCTCAGAATTTTGGAATGTTCTGGTAAATATGGTGGATTAACTCACAACTGATCAGTGACACTATTCTAAAGATTTTGTGGAAAAATGAATAAAAAATATTAACCAACAGAGTTACAGTCATTTATAAAAAGACACAAGGGAGGTCAAAAATTAATTGTACACTCTGTAGCTCTTTGTTTAGATCGCGATGTTAAAATAAACACCATTTAAAATTACTTGATCACAACACTTTGTTTGACTAGTTCCATCTACTATATCAATTACACTTTCTAAAACATCAAAATATAGCTAAAGGTCTTTCAGGACTTCTATATTTTACATTTACATCAAAATTATTTGTCTGGTAATAGGGCATCAAAGTTATTCGCCTTCGGTAATGGCGCATCAATGTAAAATTGGATATATATATTTTTTTCAAGCCTTCTTTGGTAAGTTAGTTTTGATTTAAAAAACTTTTTTAGTCTGTAACTAGCTTTTTTCTATATCATTTTAGACAAATTTGTCCAACATATAAATAAAACTATTTTTGATACTACTTTACACTAACTTTCTGCTTATATATGAATTAAAATGATGAAAAAATCAATTGACGAATCATGTAAACGCAGCTGTAAAGCACTTTTTTTTGGTTTACCATTTTAGTTTGCCTAACGTGTGGCAAGTTGAAAATGGGACAAGATTTAAGAAATGCTACTCCCTTATTTTACAACATTTTTCAAAAAACTAAAAAGATTCAATTAAAGCATCACATTCTCTGTTGTATAAAGTTTTATTGATCTTCAATACACAGGTTTATAGTCTCAATTCCATTCCGTATATTATCACAAAATTGTTTAGTAAGATGAACATTTTAAATTTAAGTTAGTGGTAAATTTTGGCTAGGAAAGATATTTAGCGTTAAAAAAATTTTATATCAAAGATTTTATATCAAACTAATATCAATATGTCATATTCTGCTTCTCAAATTTTTTCTCAAATCTTCTTAAATTCTAGAATTGTTTACTTTTCTAAACAATTCTGAGATTTCCGCAAAGTTCCGTTCCGCAAATACAACTTTGCGGAACGGAACTAAGGCAATAAACCCGTGTATTAGACCTTATCGTCGAACAGAATCATCAAGAGCTGGAACCAGTTGCCCAAGACGTTGTACGCTGACCATTTTGACAAATTGTAAATGCATTTTTTAATCTTTTTGCGCAGATAATCTAAATTTTTTTGCCAATTCTCGGCATTGACCTTTCCTTTCAAAATGCTGTAGAAACTTTCGATTGGACGCAATTCTAGGACATTTGGGGGATTGTCTTCTTTGGTGCTCTGCCATGAACGGCTTTAATCTCTTTTGAATACACTCTCTCAAGTAGACCTTCTGGTTGTTTGCCAAAGGAGAAAGCTTTGAAATGTTATGCTCTGAAAAGCCAGAAGAGCAGTCTTCTCATATTTGACTGTTGGGTCATACTTGACACTTAAAGAAGTTATTGAAACATCGCTGGTGTAAAAAGCACCTTTGCCATTGATGTGCGAGTTAGATAAAGTGATGTACAATTCATCGTCCAAAATGCAACACTTTTTTTGCTACTTTTCACACAGCCAACGGTATGTGAAAAGTGGCGAAAAAATGTTTTTTAAAGTTCAATAACAAATTTGTGTTCTTTTTAAAATTTTTTAAATAAAATTTAAAAGCAATTATAATTAAAAAAAAAAAAAAGAACAATTTTTGAATTTTTACCTTTTTTAATTGTATAAAAGTTAAGTACCCTAACAAACTAATTATTGTCCTTTCTAAGAGGCAAAAAAATTTCACTTGTGTTAAAAAATAAAATTTTTAGACATTTCGTTTATTTTTTTTTTTTAAATTTTATGAAAAGAAACTTAATTTATAGCAACCCAGCCAGCACAAACATGTCTTTATAGAATTTAAAATGTTAACACCTTTTATACGTCTAAATTCAGATGACTAAAAGACATCTAATTGTAGTCGTCTTTGAGAGGACGAACATGAGCTCATATTTGTTGTCTTAAAAATGATTGCTATTAGATGTCTTATAGTTACCTAAATTTAGACATCTAAAAGGTGCTAACATTTTAGATGCTAAAAAGACGTCTAAAGACACACTACCCCAAAAATGTCAAACTACCCCAAATACTGCACCCACTACCCCAAAAAACATCACGGCAATCAGTTAGTATTTAATAATTCGTAATTTACAACACAGCTTAAACGTGCCTACTTCAAACTTCCGAAAATTTTAAAATCAATTTTGCCATAATAAGTTTTGAATTATTTATTAGAGGTTGACAATTAGAGGACAATTAGAGGTTAACAATTAGAGGACAATTAGAGGTTGACAATTAGAGGACAATTAGAGGTTACAAATGGTAAAATAAATAAAAAGCAAACAGATGTACGGTGAAAAGTTTGTTACTTTTTATATTAAAAACAAAATAAAGTTGAAATAATTTTTCACTTTTTTTCAATTATTACCAAAAACTCTATTTCAGTCCCAGTTTTAAGACGCCTAACATCATTATCATTTCGGATAAGTACGTTTGGTAGTTTGGTAATTAATAAAGATGCGCTATCTTGTATAACAAATTCCTGTTTTAAAGCACTTGTGAGTTTTTCCAATGTCAAATCTGACAACAAAAATTCTATTTCAACAAAGTATAAGTCTCCTACTTGGCGTACTTTTATAATAACGTATGGGTCTTCTTGTTCATGATATTCGATAAGTTTTTTTAAAATTTTCCGATCAGCGTCAGCCCGAGTTGTCATAAATGTTATAATACTAGAGTTTATTTTTTCCAACAACACTTCACTTCTCGATTGCATTCTGGGTTTTTTAAAGCAAAAAGTTTTCTTTTTATTTAAAAAATCTTTGGATTTAGAGACTGATTGATTAATTTTGATTGGTTTAGCGCTTAATTGATTAAATCCAATTGATTTGGTTTTTAATATATTGTCTTCGATTTGCTTAGAGCTTGATTGATTTTCTTCGATTTGCTTAGAGCTTGATTGATTATCTTCGATTTGCTTAGAGCTTGATTGATTATTTTCGATTTGCTTAGAGCTTGATTGATTATCTTCGATTTGCTTAGAGCTCGATTGATTAACTTTAAAATCATTATTTGTTGAGTTTACTGAATTATAAATACAACTATTAAAGTTATTAACTTCAGGTGTTTTGACTTTATTTAAAACAAGTGCATCTGAATGTTCAGACAAACCATTTATGTCGGATGAACTTTTTGAAAAATGTTGTAACCTAGGTAACCTAGTTGATTTATCCTTTAGAACTTTATTCATTTCTTCGAAGCATGGTGGCTTTTTGAAGCGAGCGGTGCCGCTTGTATTTCGTTTGTTGAGATAGCTTCGATATGCACTTGTTAACGTATGAATTCTTGTTTTACACATCTCTTCATCTCTGTCTTCATAACCACAAGCTTTTAAATATAGAAAAATCTCCTGCCAGATTTTTTTCTTTCTAAAAAGATATATAACAAATATATATATATATATATATATATATATATATATATATATATATATATATATATACATATATATATATATATATATATATACACACATATACATATATATATATATATATATATATATATATATATATATATATATATATATATATATATATATATATATACATATACATATATATATATATATATATATATATATATATATATATATATATATATATATATATATATATATATGTATATATGTATATATGTATATATATATATATATATATATATATATATATATATATATATATATGTATGTATATATGTATATATGTATATATATATATATATATATATATATATATATATATATATATATATATATATATATATATATATATATATATATATATATATATATATATGTATATATGTATATATGTATATATGTATATATGTATATATATATATATATATATATATATATATATATATATATATATATATATATATATATATATATATATATATATATATATATATATATATATATATATATATATATATATATATATATATATATATATATATATATATATATATATATATATATATATATATATTAAGATGAGCACCACCGGAAGAGCATTTAATTAGGAAGTTCACGCCTTACTAACCACTGTGCCATGGCTGCAATATTATATCGTACGCATAATATATATAAATAAATAAAATATATATATATATATATATATATATATATATATATATATATATATATATATATATATATATATATATATATATATATATATATATATATATATATAGTACGCAAAATATACATAATATATATAATGTATATTGTACGCGTAACGTATATTGTACACGTAGTTGCGGCATGGAGCGATTAAGTGAAGCTGGCCCGTGACAAGGAAACCTGATGATCTTGGCGTTGTTTAAATTAATTATTTTCCTTAAAAAAAAAAAAAAATTATTTAAAAGATTGTATTTTAAAAACTTGCCACGGCACTGGAAGCTTTAGCCCGTTCAAACTGACGCTAGAACACACTTTAATTATGGTATTTTAAACGCACACTATATTTTTAGTGTAAAAAGCTGAATAAAACAACAATAAAAAGTACGCCGAGGTACAACAATAAAGCAGTACATAATTAGAAATATCGCATTGATTTAAACAATATTCAAACGCTTACAATTGTTAGTGAATCAATTTTTTAAAATGTCAATAAACGGTTATCTTATTTAATTCGAAAATTAAAATTTAATTTAAAAATTTATAAAAAAGAAATTAAATGAAAAGAAAAAAAAAGGAAAAAAATAGAAAAGGAAAAACGAAGGAAATTATTTTAAAGAACTAAAAAGATTAGTTTAAAATAAAGTAAAATAAGAAAAATATTGAAAGTTATAAACGAACAAAAAGATTGAAAAAAAAAATAAAACAAGAAAATGAATAAAAGAATAAAACGAAAAAATAGATTTAATAAAACAAAAACAAAAGGAAAACAAACAAAATAATCAATTTAATGCAAAGTACTAAGTTAAAAAAAAAGTTTGAAAAATGCTCAAACTATTGATAAAAAGAACTTAATTTTTCTACGCTACTTTTTTAGCTAAAAATAACGAAAGATCTTTTTTTTTTTAGAATATTTTGTGTTTTACCTTTTCGTTTGCGTAAAGTTTGTTATGTTGCTGCTAATTATTTTTATTGTTGTTTGCTGTTGTTATTAACTGAGCGTTTTCATATATATATTTTTTCATAGTCTTATTATTTAATTTATTAATAGCTTAATCGTTAACTTATTTTTTTAATAATTTAATTTACGCATGTTTTTATTTATTATTGGTGTTGATTTTTTTTGTTTATTTTAATTAGGTGTCACTCATATACTTAAAATCTAGTCATTCGAGTGACACCAAATCTAATTTTTTGAAAGTATAAAAAAAAATTTAATATTAAAATTTTGGTTGAATAAATGGATAAAAAAAAAATTGTTATTTGAAATGCTGTTTTTGACCCCCGTCCGTAGCAATATTATTTTATTTACTTACAAAAATTACGTAACGCAACTTTTTATTAAAATGAACAAAATCTGCGTAGTTAATTTTTAAAATAGGTTAATGTTTTTTGGTTATGGTTTTTCATTCTTTGAAAAGTTGCGTACGTATTTAATGATTTTTAACTCTTCAATAAACAATGACTTTTTAAAAACATTTAAATGACGCAAAAATAACTTTGCTTAGAGTACAGTTGTAAAGAACGGACTTTTAACTTACTCGATTTTTTGAAACTGCAAATAAATACAAAGTTATAAAATAAAATTTTTTAAAGAAACCTAAATTCGAGTCTCTTTAAATAGCGATTGAAGTCAATTTTTTTTTTCAATAAAATTGTTTTAGAAAGCTTAAAAACGATTTTTTAGATATGCGTCGCTCGCGTCACAATAATCTTAGTTTATGTTTATCATAATTATTATTGAAAAAATATATTACTTTTTATATAAGATTTAATTATATTTATTATGAATTATTTGCCATAATTTACGCTTAGTATTAATAATTATTTGCTTGTTTACTTCAAATTTGCAACTTTTGAAAAAAAAGTTATTTGAGAACCAAGTTCTAAAAATAAAAATAAACAAACCTTGTGCAAGACTTCAATTTTTCTTGAATGTTATCCTCAGACCATTTACTTATTAGTATTTTTGTTTCCTCATCATCCCAATGTCTTGATCTTTTTCTACATTGGGCTTTTTCGTCAGCTTTAACTTTTACTTCTGCCATTAAAATTATTTGAATACTAAATAAAACATTAATAAAACGATCTTTCAACTTTGTTTTGCTTAAACAGTTTTGTGTGTTCCGTGTTTTAATTAAAACTAACGTTCAATATAAATCTCTGTTAAATGATTCGTTTTGAAACAACATTGCGACGATGTTTTATTTAAACAGCTTTTTTTATTCAGCGGTTTATTTAAAACATGGTGGGAATAATAAAACACTAAGCGCGTTAAAAGTTAAAGCGTGCTTTATTGTCATTAGAAACGGGGGTTGTATAGCTACCTTAAACCTGCGTTAATAAAGCATTTGTTAAGCTCTTTCGAAGTTTGCTATGAGCATTATCTATGCGTTTTATTATTAATGCGTAGAGTAATTAACGATGTGTTTTTTTTTTGCTGCGATTATTTATTTATTAAATAAAAAGTATTTTATAGTAAAAAGATTTGATTTTAAAAAATTACGTATAAACCTTTTAAAATACTTTTACCTAGTCCCCACAGAAAATTTTATTTGGTGTTTTAGAAATGAGCAGCCCTGGCGCAGTGGTAGCGCACTTGTCACAGATCCCTGGTTCAAACCCCACCTCTGGGCAAGTTTTGCGACATCGGTTGGGAAGGAGGCGTGAACTTCCTATTAAATGCTCATCCGCGGTGCTCATCCGCTGTTATAAGACCGTAAGGACTTCTTAGGGCACCTTAATCAACTTAAAAAAAAAAAAAAAAAAAAAATGACATTTTAGGCATTGTGTAAACCAACCTTTGGTATGTTCACACTTATATCAAATGAGAATGATTTGCAAAGAATTGCGGTGATTAGAGTGTGAAACCAAAAATACCCCCATAATGTTTATATTACCACCCAGTGATAATATAAACATCTTACGAATGGGCCCCCTAATTTTGCTAGACCTTGCCCAATAAGGAGGGGGTTTTAGGTAGCCTAGCCACGGCTCTGTTACCAGCAGCAAATGTGAATTAGTTTATCATACTATTATATAATTTTACATTTCAATATGTAATGGCATTTCATCAACATATTGCTTTAGCAAAGTGACATTAAACTATATTTTTAAAACAAAACCATTTTAGTTAACTAACATGCACAGACTGTTTTTAGAAATTGAATGCACTGTGTATAAAAACTTTCATTTAAATGGACCAAGCTATTAAAAAGTTTCATCTTTTTCTATACATTCTTTTTTAATTTTTTAAAGGCAAATTATGACCAATCAAAAGAGGTACTTAATGATGTAATCTTCGCGCTATTTATTTTGAGCAGTTTTAATATTCTTGTTTGTACTTTTATGGTTTTATGTCATGTAATTTGATATCAATTTATTTAATATCTACAATTAAAATTGGTTGTCTGTTGTATAATAGAAAAAATGGTATATATTGCGTTGAAGTGTGTTTACTAACACGATGTGCAAATAATATTCCTTTAATAATGTATGGGCATTCAGTACCTGTTTTATCAAGAACTCTAACTAATGATTTATTTATAGCTCTATTTTTACGTTTACATTGCCAATTAAATTGAGGACGATAAGCAGAAGTTACCATGTGTTCAGTTCTAGTCACTTAAGTAGTTTTTTACTAACTTCATTCACAAACTCTATTCCTTGATTGTTAATCAACCTGAATTTCTTAAAGATAAATTCTTTCTTTAACATATATTGTAACATGTTTGATATATTGACGTTCTAAAATTTTTAGTTACTTATAATAATGAAAATAGTTTGGTAAATAAAATTTAAATTGTTATCCGTATTTTAATTTACTACAAATTATATATAATAAATACAGTAATAAGCTATTACTGTACAAGGCCGTAGACAACTTTTTTTGATGTTTGAGCTAAGCAACTTTTAAACATAAAGAAAATTCCATATTTAAGTATGCTCATATTTATGAGGAATGAGGATGCTATGCAAAAAATTTCAGTGATTGAAGACTGGGAACAACAAAAAAACCATAATGTTAGCCCCCCTCCCCCTAGCTCCAAATACAAAGGCAATGAGTCAAATTTGTTTTTTTTTTAATCTTAAACTTCATCAACGAATTTCAAATTTGATTCAATTATCTCTTGTTTTTCGGCTTTTATGACCTTACAAAGTTTACAGCCCCCTCAATTTGAGGGGTGTGTAAACTTTATAAGATCATAAAAGCCGAAAAACAAGAGATAATCGAATCAAATTTGAAATTTATTGATGAATATAAATTAAGTTTAAAACTCTCAGTTTCTAGTTTATTCAAACTTTGTTTGATTGCAAGATAAATTTTATTTTCTATCTTTTTTTATTTAAATTTTTTGTTTAAAGTTTAGTTTAAACCACGTTAAAAAATATCTCGTTTTAAATTTATACAGTAACCAGTAAATTTTGATAAAAAACAAAACCTAATTTAACTATTTCCTCATTCAAAATTTAAATTTTATGTCGTGTCACTCAAATGAAATCATTTTTATTCAAGATCATTTGTCTTGAAACAATAGAAAAGTTTTTTAAAATCCAAACAATGTGCTAAGAATCATAATTGGGACAAAGAAGTGATATTTAGGGGGAGGAGGGGAGGGAGGGGTCTTAGCCTATATAAGCATTTAAGATACATGTTACAAAAAGATTTTTTTTTTTTCAATCAAGAGTGTTTGTTCTATAAAAACAGAAATAAGAATTTATAAAATTGGAAAAAAAATGATGAGTTACAAATAGGACTAAGGGTAAAATTGAGTTGAGGTATCGAGACAAAAAAAAAGGCCTAAGTTTTAAGGCTGCCCTCCCTTTCAATTTTACTTTTTTGCCCCAATTAAGCAATCTTAGCACTTCTTTGCTTGGATTTTAAAAACTTTTCTACTGTTACAAGACAAATACATTTGAAAAAAAAAAGATTTCAATTGAGTCACGCGACAATTGAGTGACACGACATAGAACCTAACAGTCTCGTTGCCACCCGTGTCCCAGGAGTGTAGAGCAAGCGGTAAAACTACTATCGGAAGCTTTATATGTTAAACATAGTTGCGATTTAACAAAATTACTAAGCAGAAAGATGCGAATAGCATATATTTCAGAAAAACAAAAATTTTTTGCTTAAAATGCAAACTACCGTTTGAAAAACTAGTTATTTCTCTGAATATAGATAATTTATTATATATCTCAAAACACTGTTCTAATGGACAGAAAGTTTTAACGTTTGGAACTTTCCATGCGAACTAAATGCTCTAAATTCATTCTTTAAAAATTGTTTATTAAAAAAATACTTATCAATCAAAATTTCTTATTTTTATAATCATTATTACTAGAAATTGGTCAATTGCGATTTCAAACTATTTGTTGCGATTCCGATATCTTAAACAATTGATCATATATGGATGCTGTAATATTAAAATTCTTCGTAAGCATATATTTGTTTACCTCCTAAAAATTGTTCTAAAATCCAACAGGGTTTTGGGCAAAAAAACTGAGGTTTGATACCTATTGATGTTCCGTATATTTCATTGTGTTCCACACCTAAGTCATTATATGCTTAAATCTTCATACTTTCCTTTATCCACCGTTTATAAAATTTTTATATTTAATAACTTTTTTGCCACTCTGCTTAACTAAGCATCTTGGATTGCGGACAAATATGCATTAGGAATGTCTTTTTATGAATATTTGTCGACAATCCCATGATACTTAGTTAAGCAGAGTGACAGCAAAGTTATAAGCTAAGTAAAAGTAAAAATAAAATTTGATATTTTTCTCCTACTATTATTAATATAATATTATATAAATATTATATATCTGTTAAAGTATCTTTGTTAAAATTCACCACACCGGTAAATTTTCTGGTAAACCCTTTCGCGCCCAGTATTCTTTTATAGTTACAAAAAAGTTAAACAAAAAAGTTTAATAAAAGTAAAAATTTTTCAGCAAAATAAATATACGTTACAAAAAATATCGAAAATAAACATAAAAAACTTACAAAAATATCTATTTAATAGTATATAAAACATAAAAAAAAGATTCATATCTACATTTCAACAGTATTATATAAAAATAACATATAAGAATATTACATAACATGACATGTTATATAATGCACAACGATTCTTTATGAAATACAAACGCATGTTTATATATTTATAATATAAATGAAATTTTTTTAAAGATAAAAATGCCCTTTATTATCTTTATCTATAAATTTTATATCAGTGTTTTACGAGAACTCTTAAATAACATTTCTTTTTATATGATTAAATAAAAAGCAGCTCATAACCAAGTATACTTTTACTTTCAGACCGCGTTACAATGTTTATCGAATACAGGTGCAAAATTAAAATGGTAATTTTAATTTTTATGTTCTTGTTTTTCCATACTTTCTTTTTTAAATAACTACAGAAGATCATCTCGTCTTCTATTTTTTCGCGACTAAACTTTGCAGGCCAGTTAAAACTTTAGAAAATTCAAATCTTGACATCGTCTTTGTAAAAAGATTCATTTGCATTTTTAATATCTGATATTGAGCTGTACAAGGGGCTACACAACGGGTCACACTCGTTATTTACAAATCGTTTAGGGGCGTCATAAACTGGTTCCTTTTCACATTCTGTTGTGGAAGACAAAGTGTTTTCATAAATAGGTCCTTCTTTGCATACATTTAAAGAATATGAATCAGTTTTATAGGGAGTGCTAGTTGGTACTATATCGTATTCATTTAAGGTGTCTGCAGAAGCGTATGTTGAATTGAGATCGTTCCTTGTTAACTGCGAAGTACAACTTGTTGGCCTTTTAATAATTGGTTCCGTTGAGGAAAGATACACAGCTTCTATGTTGGACACACTTGGTGCATAATAAGGGTTGCTTGCCTCAAGGGGTCTGTCAGGCAATGGGCGCTGTGAAAATAGATTTTATTATTTAGTAAAAGTGCACTTAAGTTACTTAAGTAGCTTAAGCTTATATTTATTTAACAATTGTAAATTATATTATTAAACAAAAGTTTGCTTTTTTTAAAAAAAATTTTTTTTTACACACTCAGCTTCCAAAAGCCAAAGGGTTCAATAGAGTTGAGAAAACTCTATTAGCCCCTTTTTTTAATTTGATATAATATATATATAAAAAAAAATATTTACAACAAAATATGAAAACTAGATACCTTAGAAAGAGTACCAGTAATAGATTTTGAATCTTCTTGATGATAGAAAATCTTATTTTTCTCGAGAGTGTTATATTGCTTCAAAGAACAATTGTTTTCTGTTTCAATACATTCGTAATCACATTCATTTTTGGTTATAACTTTAATTGACATGGATGGAATAGTGGTACGTTTCTTTTTCTTTTCTGTGTAAAAAATGTAATAGAAAAAAATACATAGATATGCATTAGGGTGTCGACTTTATGGTAGATTTTTGGTATCTCCAGTTTCCTGTATAAAAAACAGATAAACTTTTGTTTGAAAGTAACTGAAAAGTCATTAGTTTTATTTAATTTTTGAAAAAGGTCACCCACCATGACTCTTGATTACACACTGGCTCCCATATATCAGTGAATTTTTTTTTCTTCAAAAGTATATCAACTCTCTAAAGAACCAGAATTATATTTATTATATTTCAAAAATCATCAGTGATTTCAAAAATCATAATCTTTTTTTACGAAAACTTTAAAAAAAAAAAATATTGGAAAGAAAATGTCATAAAAAACGATATTTTCAGTTAAAAATTGTTGTTTTTTTGTATATTAAATTTAAGCAATTAATTTCATTTGAAATCATTATTATTTCTGAAATCTATGAAATTCTGATTCTCTGATTCTTCTGAGACCCAGGTTGATATACTTTTAAAAAAAAAAAAAAAATTCACTGATATGTGGGAACCAGTGTGCAAAAAAGGGCATGGGGGGGGGACTTTTTTTAATTAAAAATTAAATAAAACCAATTTATCAGTTACTTTTAAACCAAAGTTTATCTGTTTTTTATACAGGAAACTGGAGATATACATGTATATATATATATATATATATATATATATATATATATATATATATATATATATATATATATATATATATATATATATATATATACATATATTGATTAGTTATTTATGTATTATTTTATATTAAAATAATACAAAAATAATACAAAAACTCTTGAACGTAAAACAGTGCTCAATATTACTATAATAGAGCAATAAATATTTAAATTTTGTTTTAATGAAAAACAATATTGTTAACCTGTTAACAGTCCATGCCATAATATTACGCAAACTAAAAGTGGTTTCTAAATATCCATGCCATAATATTATGCAAACTAAAAAGGTTTTCTCTGTCCATGTTCTAATACTATGGTTTTGTGCATCTCTTTATATTATTTCTTGTTCATCAGTAATTATACATCTACTTCTCACAAAATGTTATTACTAAATAATTACAGAGCTTCTGTTTCAATAATTGTCTTTTAAATGTGTTCAATTTAATTTTAAATATGATAAATAAGGAAATTCTTTCAGTGCCAAAATAATTAAACATTTACTCACGAAAAGATAGAACTTTATACATTTGATGAATCAACAATGAAAAGATATATTTAATGAATGATTATTGAAAATGATAATAAAAGATTATTGCTCAAAGATGGTGTGCGGTATGTTACAAACAAAATATTCAAAAAGGTTCAGGATATGAATGTGTAGAATGTGATGCAGGATTTTTTGCAGCTCCTTGTTTTTTACAATTATCATACAAAAAGTGAATACACTTTGAAAATTTTAGATTTATGTAGTATGATTTATATATTCTTAAACTTGAATAATAGCATTTTCTAGTGTTTAATAATGTTAAAAATAGTAAAAAACATTTTTTATTCTATTAGTAAAAAAACACAATGAATTTAAAAATACGGGACATTTAGAGAGCACTTCAAAAAAAAAAAAAAACTGGACTAATCGTGACCGTTTTTAAAAAAAACACAGGACTGTTAAAGGATTAATAGTACTTAAAGTTTCGAGCCATACACGGCAATCATCAGCTATTAAATACATAGAAAAAACTGTTTAAAAAACAAAGACTTTTAAAATTGAATTAAAAATTACGGTAGAATGTCTTCTGACGTAATAAAAGATGTAACTATTTAGTCTCTGGTATCAAAAAAGGACAGTAGAAATTTGTTGGAATGTCGACAAGATAATATTTTGTCTTTTTTATTGAGCAGGTTGTTTTCTTTGCGATGTAAAATAACAAATTTCTCATGAAGGCAGAGGTTTTAAATTTTTGATGATGTTTTAATGGGTTTACAGTGTTTTATAATTTTCCACTTTATTATGTGCTTTATGTTTTTTTTTTTTAAACACCAAATCTTCTTAGAAAGCTTGGTATCATTTCTGTATTTCACAGCATTAAAAGATTTTAAATGTTTGGAATATCAAAGTTTAAATGGTGTCTCGCTGATACCGAAATATATTTTGTCTTTTTCTTTAGGATTAAGATTTTCATCAATCAAACACTGATTGTTCAATGGGCAAGCAGTCTTTGTAATGCGGTTATAAGTTCTTTTTGTATTGTATCTCATTTGTATCACTGTGTAAAATTATGTGGTTATGTAAACTAATTATAGACTTTACGTTTTGCATACAGCTATAACTAACTTTGATTGAATTTCTATTAAATATTTTGTAAAATTTATGGTTTACTGGAAAGTGCTGTTCAATTAATGCAAGTAAACGACTGCCTATTTTTGTTGCCACATTCTGACTAAATGGAGCGCTGTACCATATGATTTTTCGCTTTCGGTTTTTGTTTTAGTCAAGGTGACTTGAGGTTGGTATTTGAGCTTACAATTATAGACACACTTTTTTAAAGCTTTTTCGTAAGGTGGGATAGCATTATAAAAAACAGATTCATTTACTGACGTTGCAGATAATCTAAATTTAACAATGCTTTTGGGAGTCTTTTGATAATATTAGGTAGATGGTTTGAATCAGAGTGAACATAATTCAGCTCATTGTCGCATTTATGGTATGGTTGAAAAGAATTGTTATTGAGATCACAGACACTATGACAGCTTTTTTTTAATAATTCTAATTAACTCCCAAGAGAGAGAGTTACAAGAAAAAAAAAAGAGGAGAGTTATAGAGCAAGGAAATAGTTGAGAAAAGACTTAAAAAGTTGTATATTGTATGAGTCAGGAAAACATGAAGATAGGAGAAATTTCCAAAGGGTTGAAGTGCCGAGAAAAAACTAGACTAATACAATTTTTTAGAGCATGCAGGAACAGATACAGTAAACAAATGAGATTTAGCTGAATGACAAGTCAAATGAGAATGAATTTTAGTTGTTGGAACTAGGAAATATAACTTCTTTGAGCAGCAACCATAATTGTATTTTTTAAAAAAGAGAAAGAGATGCAACTTTACAACGATGGGAAAGAGGCTTAAGCTTAGCAGGTTGTGGACCCATTAAATTGCCACAGAAAAATCTCAAATTTTTACAGGAGTTATAATTTATGAAGAAAAACACAGGAATCATAGAGCCAAAACTGAAGTAAATAGTTAAAATTTATTTTTCAATTGAATTTTTTGTTCAACTTATAATTTAATTTTTACTTATAAATAATAAAAAAACCTTTGCAGACATTTGTTACTGATAATAAACTCTCCTGCTACTAATAAGTTCATCAATGATTTAAAAGATATTTTTTAGTTTACACTTAATATTACCTATATGCAGTCGTGGTGAAGTGGTAGAGAGGTTACAGATTCAATCCCAACCACATCCCTAGTAGTGCTGCATCCAACTTGTGCAGCAGACTATCAAAATCTCTGTCTAGAGTTATAACAATTGATTTTTTTGTAAACTTAAATTTTTAAGTAATGATACATTACTATAAATGAATCATATATATAGGGTTTTTATGAATACATATACATAGACTACTTATGAATACACACACAAACATATGTACATATGCTATTTATGAATATATATGGCTGGGATGTTTTAAGGTAGATATAACTTGTGTCGGGAAGCTTAATCTCTTCCCAACACAGGTTCTTCTGCTGTGCTAAAAATATGCTATATGAGTAATATGCTATATGAGTTCTAAAAATTTAACTTAAAAATGAAGTGCAAGACAAGGAACTTGTCTTGCACTTATTCATAAAAAATTTTAATTAGAGCTTAATTTTCCTTAATTGACATTTTTTTCCTTTTTTAATCTTCAATTAAGACTATTTAATCTTAAAATAAAAAGCTTACAAGTTGACTTGTAAGCTTGAATTAGAGCAATAAAACTCTTTTCATATAGAATTTATTTATTCATATTTTTAATAACCTACAGCGTGGGAAATAATGGCCGGCAATGACTGCCTGAAATGACTAAAATTGCTATTTGACCTCCCAAAATTAATTCTTGACGGTCATGTTTGACCGCTTGAAAAAAAATCTGAGTTTTGAAAAACAAGGTTTATGTAACACTAGTAATTTGTGTAAAACAATTACTAGTGTTACACTAGCAATTATTTTTGTAACACTGGTAATTTGTGTAAAACAATTGTCTTCTTAGTATTAAGTATCAAGTTTAAATGATAAAAAATTTTTTGCACAAGTGTTTATAAAGTTATAAACAACTAAATTTTACAGTTTTCAAAATAAACAGAGATAAAAAAAAATTTTTATATCTCTGCTCATTAAAAACAGAGATATAAAATTATTATTTAAAATTTTTGTATGCAATTAAGAACATTTACCAACTCTACCAACTGCAGTATTAAATGCTCAATATAAACTTTTATAATGTTGAATAAAATTTGTTTTGATATTAAAAAAAATATATATAACATTAGATTAATTGGATATTAACAAACTGCTTTTTTTAATTGAATGAAAATCTGTGCGCGCGAGCATAAATTTAAAGAAATTAACATTAGCAGGTAATTTGAATGTTAAGGCCGTTTTCCACAAGACGAAAAATTCGCGCGAAGCGAATTTTTTCGTCGTTATAAATCAGTATAATTGCCAAAAATGTTTAATCTGCATGCGCAGATTAAACATTTTTGGCAATTATACTGATTTTTTTCGCTACAGCGTTTCGCTGCAGCGAAAAAAAAAGTCGGATTCATTTCGACTTTTTGCGAATCGCCATAAGTGAAAACCAATAAAATTTTGAATATTATATCACGTGATGTCAACATTAAAAAAAAGCGAAAACATGTTGTTTTTAAAGTAACAAAAAACAAAATTCTTAACCTGGCGTTCTTATTTATTTTATAGGAACTTACTCTGAAAATTGGCTAGCATGAATAAATTTATCAAACAAGGGGCAAGACTTACATAAAAAAATGACCAGACTTATATATAAAACTAAATTGAAAATTTACAAATATAAGTTTTCACACGAAAGTTACACTTCATAAGAATGTTTATCTTCAAATGGCCACACGAAGATAAACCTTTTTATGAAAAATTCTTTATAGAGTTAAACCTGCTGTTCGTTCTTGCAGTAATAATTTTTAATAGAAATGTTCATGTCAGAGTTTAGCATTTATTTTCTTATACTTTCTTGTAAAAAAAAACCTTATATTAAACGATTATATTACAAAATAATATCACATCTTACATATAAAGGCAGAAATGTTAATATTAATGCGCGGAAAGAAATTTTCACATGCTTCAAAGTAGAAAGTATGATAAAAAAGTATTAATTGCCTTCAGTTAAACATACAGCGTAAACTTATTACTGCCATTTTTATTGTTGACAAGTAGCGCGAAAAAAAGTACGTGGAAATCAAAACAGCGTTTCGTCGTAGCGAAAAAATTCGCTTCGCGCGAATTTTTTGTCTTGTGGAAAACGGCCTTTAGTTATTTGCAAGTTTAAAATTAAAAAATGCATAAATTTTATTTAAAATTATTATTTTAAAAAGAATATAATACTTGTTTATTTAATATGATAGTTTGTTTATTTTCAATTTGTTAATTTAAATATAATAGTTTGTTTATTTTCAAGCATTAAAACTCATATTTTGGTTTTAATTATGAAGAACTATTATTCAGATAAAAACTAACTCAAAAAAAAAAAAAAAGAACGTTGACTCCTTGTGTTAGCCAGTCAAATTGACCGCCTTCGATTTTTTATTTTCTATGCTAAATTTATAATTAAATCTTTTTGATTGTATTTGAAATATGACAGTGTAAAGATATTTTAAATTTCTAAAACTAGGACTTAATATGTAAGACATTAAAATAAAATAAATTAAATTATAATTTTCATCATTGAAAATCATCTTACTTTTAGAAATTGTTGGATCTTCTTCATATCGTACACCAGCTAAATAATAAAATAAGAAGAACTAAGATATAAAAAGAAGAACTAAGATATAATAAGAAGAACTAAATAATAAAATAAGAAGAACTAAGATATAAAAAGAAGAACTAAGATATAATAAGAAGAACTAAGATATATAAAGAAGAACTAAATAATAAAATAAGAAGAACTAAGATATAAAAAGAAGAACTAAATAAAAAAAAAAGAAGAACTAAGATATAAAAAGAAGAACTAAGATATAATAAGAAGAACTAAATAAAAAAAAAAGAAGAACTAAGATATAAAAAGAAGAACTAAGATATAATAAGAAGAACTAAATAATAAAAAAAGAAGAACTAAGATATAAAAAGAAGAACTAAGGTATAATAAGAAGAACTAAGATATATAAAGAAGAACTAAATAATAAAATAATTAGAACTAAGATATAAAAAGAAGAGTAGCATCTTATCAAATTTTTTTGACAACATGCTTCCTAGTTGCAAAAACATAATTGCCTAAAGCTAGAGAAAATGAAACAAGTTAGCTTCCGTTGACTACTGTTGATGTAACTTGCCATTAAAAGCTTTCTGAACCCTTAATATTCAGCTGGTTCATCACTTCAAAAAATACAACTGATGATATTTTACTGAAATAGATAGAAAAGTCTTTATAGATTGACCAATGGTTTTAGGTTAGGGCAAGTAATATCTAAATAGATGCAACACATAACAAGTCTCCAAACCCTGAGCCTTCTAAAAACAACATACTGAAAAAAAAAAATTAGAATCTGCAGAAATAAACAGAAAGTAACCAGTGGCGATACATGCTTTGTTAAAACAGTAATAACAGGTGGTTACTAAAAATGCAGACTAATTTTATCTTACTTTTAAATGGCACAGGCTAAACTAATTTTTTAGTTGTTAATTTTTATTTATGTTCATTTTTTACATACTCTTTTTAAAGCTTATTCAATTTTCTAATAATTATTTAAGTTATTAAGATTATTTATAAATAATCTAATAGTATGATAGTTATAAATAGTTATAATAGTATGATAGATAGTTATAAGCTTGTTTTTAATTAACTAAAAACTTGTTTTTAGATAATTGATAAAAATAAAAAAAATAAATGATGTCCAACCAAGAAGAGATAAGAAAATGAATCAACAAGTTCTATTTGAATAATAAATTAGTAGGAAAAAAGTTCACAGTAGATCACTTCTATGCTGAACAAATTACAAGAAGCACTATATATGATATAATTAAAAGTGCTGAGAATGATTCTGGACACAAAAGTCAGGTTTTTATTGTATGGCAAAAATCATGACCCCCAAGGTGATCAAGTATCTGAAAAACATGTTTGACTACAGTGGCCAGGATTGGATGAGGCAAGCAAAAGAATAATAATAATAATAAAATTAAGATGCAGTCATATCATTAAAACTCTTGCCAAGTACACTGACATCAAAACTTCTACAAAACAGGGTATACCTGATCAACAAGATAACCAGAAACCGAGCAAATCAAGACCAATATTGATCATCTTAATAGCAATTTTTAAGGAAATTGGTCATCCTTGGGGACAAGTCCTACTCCAACCTTTCGCACTAGACAATTTAACAGCACTATTACTTAAAACTATTATTACTATTATTTCAAAAAGCGCAAGTTCGAATCCAGGCTGCTCATCTGGCTAACCGCTTCTGACAAAGGTATCTCCAAGCCATTTATTAGTGAAGATTAGTGCCATTCATCAACGCTCATCGTGGTGATGGTAATTATGTATTTTAGCTGGACCTGGCCTTATTACATGACATCAAAACTGTGACCAACTGCTATGAGACCCATAACATCAATTTTGTCCAAAAAGTTGACAATATGCCAGCTGTACCAGAGTGTTGCCTAAGACTTTTGGGCTTTTGAGGACTTTTAAAAGGCAAAGTGTACAAGAGTAACTGGCAAGCGAAAGATGTGAAGCAACTACGAACCAGAATAAGGCTTTGTCTGAAAAAAAATGACCTTCACCTTGTATTTTCACTTTTTTAGTCAACTTGGCCAAATCCTAAGAAACAGACTGGTTGAAGACAAACTTAATTAAAATAAATAACTAAAAACTTTATTTAATGATATTTTTATTTAATCTCTCCTTAAAAACTATAAGAGTAATTGCCCTTGAAAGTAAATCTGGATTTCCAGTATCCAAATTAACTGCAGCTTAATTTAAATATTTTAAAATAGATTTATGGCAAAGAACTTTGACTACCCAATAAAGTTAAAAAAAAATAACTTGATTCAAGTTATTTTTTGTTGATTCTGCGAAACAACAGCTTAAACTGGAGATGTGCAAACGCTGCATTAAAAGAAATAATTTCTTTAATTTAATAATTTTGTGGCGGGATAGCTCAGTTGGTTAGAGCGTCAAACGAAAAGTTAAAATCCAGACTGTTGAACGATACAAGTTCAAACCCTGCCACTTAGTGCTTAAGTAGTACTTTGGTACACAAAAATGTTGGTCAATAATGAACGCTACTTTGGATTAGTCTAAATGACTATTTGCGGCTGTTACTAAGCCAAGCCAACAATATCTTCAGATATAAGAACATTGTATAGAAAAATATAGCATGAAATTTCAAAAAAAAAATAATAATAATAACGCGCTTAGCCATGCAAAGCTCTTTTTTAATCAAGTTTTTCTGCCAAAATTTAAAATATATTTAAATTTTAAATGTTTTAATTGCCAAAAAAAACTTTAGTAAATGCATTATCAAAATTTAACTTAAAAGAAACTTGCAATGATAGAGGAGCCATCAGGAGGAGATGAGGATAATAGAGGAGCCATCAGGAGGAGATGAGGATGATAGAGGAGCCAAAAAGGTAAGCTTATATAAATATAAAACGAACTACTTTACTAATAACCAAACTAAATAAAAGTTAAAACAAATACAAAAATATACAAAAGTTAGTTATAAAATAAATGTAAAACAAAGAATCGCATTAAACCATATAAACTAGATGTAAACTAAACATAAAGCGAACAACTCTATCAAACAACATAGACTAAATATAAACTTAGAAACCGCATCATACTGCCTTGATTTTTGCTCTGGCTGCAAACTCTAATAATCACAAAAAATAATAGTGTCATGATTTTTGCTGGGTTTTAAATTAAAATAAATATAAAGAAAGCAAAAAAAATTATTTAGTAATTAGAAGGATATATTGTTCCGACAAAATTCTACAATCACATCATATACCAAAACTAAAAACTAAATTATAGGTAAACAGGTTGCGGCGAATATTTTAATGACTTGAAAATCACGCTATTATGTTAATTACTTGGACTAAAACTGCAAAGTTAGTTTTTCTTGGTTTATGTTTATTATCTTTTAATCAAAAAAATTCAGCCCAAACATTTTTTAAAAAATATTTTCTTTAACATGAACACAATTTGTTTTGGAACTTTGGGCTTTAAAAATAGTTTTTTTAATAAAATCTCATTCAATAAAATTCAAAACTTCATCTTAACATTTTTCATACCTGATACAAAAAATAACTTATGGATTTGTTTGTTGTTTCAAATTTAAAAATATATATAAAATATGTAGTCATAATAAAAAGTATAGTAACTTTCCATTATTCTTATTTTATGCTCCATCATCAGTTTCTAGCATTTTTTTTATCATTTGAACTTGCATCTGTGTCACCAATGCACAATGGGACAGAATTCCAGGGGGCACTTTTTTTTTTAAAATTAAGTGCTCCTTGGAATGCCTTTGAGGAAGTAAATTTATTAAGAAAAAAAAAAAGTTAATTGTAAGGGTAATTCTTAGTTTTTGCATCAGTAGCAGACAGTTTTTGATATATATTGTGTGGTAACCCATTTTATCTTTAGACCTTTTATCCCATTTTATTGACCCCATTTTATCTTTAGACCTTTAGTCCAGAGTGAAGAAAAGCAATATGAAGAAAGTGAAATAAAAAAATAAAATAAAAAAAGTGAAGAAAAATGAAGACTTTTATAAATAATTTTTTTGATATTAATAGTTAGAGATTTATTTATATATATTTTAACTAATATTTTATCTTTGCTAAAGAAAAATTTTAATTTCAATAATAATATTTATCATACTATATTTGAAAAACTGATCTTGTTGCAATCATGTTCACATAGCGCTTAAAGGAAATAAGCACTTAAAAGAAATTGGATTTTGTATAAAATGTAACTCTTTGACTACTAAAAACTTGTTGCTATGCAAAATTAAATATTTATAACAGCCAATAAAAAAGATTATTACCTTACATTACATAGCACAAATAAAAAATCTACCAAAATTAACTTGTTGCTAAACAAAACTAGGTACCTATAACAACTAAATAAAAAAATATACCTTTATAAGAAGAACAGATTTCATACTAGTTATTATGTCAAGTTTAGCAAATTATTGATATCAAATTTGATTAATTTTGTCTCAAAATTTGCTTCACAATGTAACAAAATTTAAAAAACATAGAAAATATAATTTCTTTAAAAAAAATACATAGATGTTATGATATAGATTTTATAAAAATACTTTTATATACATCTGATTTAGTTATTTCATTCAATAAAAAAACTGTTTCATCAATATAAAACTCTATGAACTATGGCTATGCATAGAGCTCTATGTTCTATGCATAGAGCTCTATGTTCTATGCATAGAGCTCTATGTTCTATGCATAGAGCTCTATGTTCTATGCATAGAGTTCTATGTTCTATGCATAGAGCTCTATGTTCTATGCATAGAGCTCTATGTTCTATGCATAGCCTAAACATGCTTAGATGCAATATTATGTCATACCAACACCTAATCAATTAACATTTTCAGTCAACTTAACATTATTATCCACATAACTAAGAACACTTTTATTGGGAAAATGGATTTTATGGATTAGTTATTTACATAGATAAAAATCTATGTAAATATTCAATTGTGGCACAAAATTTTAATAAAATGGAAATTGGAAAAAGTTTTCTGAAAATAAAATAAAAAAATTATAACTATGTCACCTAATTTGTAACCTTAATATTGTAAATTGTCATCTCATTTGTAACCTTAACATTATAACAGTCATTTAATTTTTATATATAACTTGTTTAGCTGTGTACTAAGCAAGTAGTCCATTAACAAGTAATACAATATAATAGCATAATAAAACACAATTTAAAAAAAAAAAAAAAAACCTTATTTGAAGCCTTACAAAAGTAATAAAAAACTTTTCTAATAAAAATACTCTAAATAATCGAATTAAGGAAAACAAAACTTACGTTGTTGACTTATTAATCTGGAGCGTGATTCAATTGTCATATTTTTCCTTAAATCAAATTTTTTTTAAATTAAAAATAAATAAAAATGTAATATATATATATATATATATATATATATATATACATATATATATATATATATATATATATATATATATATATATATATATATATATATATATATATAATATATATATATATATATATATATATATATATATATATATATATATATATATATATATATATATATATATATATATATATATATATATATATATTGGTCATGGTCTTCTGCAAGTTTTTTATATGCGTTGCTAACAAAAGTTTTAAAAACAAAATAACAAAATAGGAATTTAAAATAAACTTAAATAGAAAATAATAATAAAAATAATTTAAATAATTGTGTACTGTTTTTATTTTTGTTTCTTCATAGTGGTTATTATTTTCGGCAACAAAATTCGGTAAATCAAAGCAAAAAAATATATTTTTTTTTTAAAGGGGAAAGCGAAAATAAGAATTGTCATCTGTTTGTAAAATATATTTGTATAATTTTAATGTTACAAGTATATATCAAGGGGTGAATCAAGTAAAACCCTGGAAAAATATCCGATCTTCAAAATTTTAGTTTATGCAAAGCTGTGTACTTTGTTTTCAAGGAGCAAATTATTATAATTTTGTTAGCGAGAAAAATATAAAAACAAAACAAATAATAAACTTACGACTACAAAAGTAATAATACTCTCGTCACTAACTGCATTACAAAAGTAATTAAACTATAATAGTGTTATTACTTATATAAAGCACTTATTACTTTTAAAGTTAATTATTTTTTCAAACAACATAAGTAATTCCAAACAATAATTAAAGTAGAAAAGCATCTAAAAAAAATAAAGCGGATATTCAAATATTGAAAGCTTGAGGAATTTTCACAAATCACTTAAATAACTTTATAAAAGCGCACTTAATAAAATGTTAAGCATTGAAAAACATCACTAATAGTCTGTATAAAGGCGTGTTTAATTTTAAAATCAACTAATAAAAATTTTTATTAGTTGATTTTAAAATTAACACGCGTTTTTACGTATCACTAGTAACATTTTTAATAATGCTAAACTTTTTATACATTATGTTTTGATAAAGTTACGTTTACGTTTTTATAAGTTACTTAAATTTTAAATATTATTTAGATATCCACTATATTTTTCTAGATGCTTTTCTACTTCAATTAAAATTTGGGAGAACTTATCTTATTTGAACAAAGAATGAATTATAAAAGTTATAAGTGCGTTATAAAAGTAATAAAACTATTATAGTGTTATTATTTTTAGAATGCAGTAAGTCACTAGAGTGTTATTACTTTTGTATTCGTAAGTTTATTGTTTTAGTTTTTATAATTTTTTCGCTTAAAAATTAAAGTTGATTCGCACCTTGAAAACAAAGAACATGTTTTTGTATAAAGTAAAATTTTGAAGACCAGATATTTTTCAAGATTTTGCATTTTGTGATCGCTTAATTCAACTCTTGTTATCATATAATTATATTTTACAAACACATTGCAATTTATTTTTTCGCTTTCCTCTTTAAAAAAAGTTAAATAAAGGAAAATCATTCATTTTATTGTAGACTTGAAACTTTTTTTTTTACTTCGCCTTATCTAATTTTGTTGCTGAATGTAACAACCACTCTAAAGAAACAAAAATAAAAGCAGTACATAAATTATTTAAATTATTAAATTATTTTTTTTTTATTTAAATTTCTTTTTATTTCCTATTTTGTTAGTTTTGCTTTTTATGATTTTTTAACTTTATTATAAAACTTGCAAACAGCCGTGATCAAGTTGTCTAAAATAAAATATCTTGCATGGTCTTACAAGACAAAAAACCGCACGCTTTTCCTGGAAAGGCTTGCATTTATAATTTTATAATTTTATAAAATATAAAATTGTTTTATAAAATGTTTTATAAAAGAAAACATTAGGAGTATCAAAATTAATTTTACTCCAAAAATGTTTTGTATATAACTGAAACCAATTCAAACCAGTAAAAAAATATATATATTTAAACAAAACAAAGAAAGGTAAAAAAAAAAAACACAGCAACCCATGATATCAAAATTTTAGATCAAATTTTTTTTTTTATTTTACTTCACCTCCTCAAGGCCGAGAAGGCCACTACAAACGAGGAGGCTACTTATTTTGTGGCTATAACCCTCTCTCAACTCTATAACTCCGAAACACGAACCTTGACGAACAAGGCCGCTGCGCGGAGAAACGAGTTGAGCGCGGTACTACCAGGGACGTGGTGGGGATCGAACTCGGAACCACTCGTTTATGAAGCGAGCGCTCTACCACTACACCACTACCGCATTTTAATTGAAAAATTGAAAAAAACCCAAACAAATCAAACCTTAACCGCATGGAATTATTTTACTGCAATAACTGCTAACTTACATTGACTTTCTTTTTCGCCAACAAACAACAAATAAACCGATAAGAATCAACAGTAACACAACACACACTGCAGATCCAACTATTATAGATGTTGAAGAGTTTGTAATTTTAGATGTTTCATGAGATGTTGATGAGCTTGTGTTTGCTGCCGACTGAAAATAAAAAAAACTAATTTTATAAAAAAGTAATTATTTTATGTGATCCAAAACCACTTACTTTTATAACAGAACTAAAAACTAAATGTTTTAACAACCTACCAATGAATGTATATTTGTTTCAGAGGTTGTTTTAATTGGTAAAACCTCTGTGCAATTTAGTACTTCTGTAGGTTCTACTATCTCATTGCCTAAAAAAACAAAAACAAAAAAACATTGATCTTTTTAGATAAATAAAAATAATATTTATTAACTAATATGTTAAAAAAATAATCATATAAAATCCATAAATCTAAAAAGTCATCCATGAACCAAGAGTAAAATTAAGGGTATCAATTGCGGTTGACAACTAAAAGAATTTAATTGCATACTCTATTATCATACTTATCAAATAAAAGTACAAACTAATTACTAAGTATCATTAAAAAAATTTTTTTGGTCATATCAGGAAGATGTGTGATCACAATGGCATGTGATCACACATCTTCCTGACCAAGCCTGATATATATATATATTTTTATATATATGTATATATATACATTTATATATATGTATGTATATATATATATGTATGTATATATATATATATATATATATATATATATATATATATATATATATATATATATATATATATATATATATATATATATATATATATATATATACATACATATATACATATATATATATACACACACATACATACATACATACATACATACATATATATGTATATATATATATATATATATATATATATATATATATATATATATATATATATATATATATATACATACATATATATATATATATATATATATATATATATATATATATATATATATATATATATATATATATATATATATATATATATATATATATATATATACATACATATATAATACAATTACTACATGCATTAAAATGATAAAAAGTAATTTTACATTAAAAAAGTTTAAAATTTAGTTTAATAGGTGTTCCCTAGAACTCTCTTCAATTATCTCTAAACTATTTAATAAATACTTGACTGAGTCTTGTTTTCCTGAAAATGACATCTGTTGTTCCTATTTTTAAAAACTCTGGAGAACATTCTGACCAATTATTGTCCGACCAGTCTTATTTCTGTTATTAGCAAGGTCTTTGAACTTTTGATTTACAAATTTCTCACATCCCATCTTGAGTCAAACAACTTATTGTCAGACAATCAATATGGTTTTAAATCAGCCGATCTTGAATCTGATCTCACTTCTGCAACAGATCAATTTGACTTCAATTTTAACTCCAAAAAAAGGCTCAATTTGACTCAATTTTAACTCCAAAAAAACTCAGTTATTTACTGCAAACAACTATCACAATACTGTCAACATTTTTATATTAATGAATAACAGCCGTCTCACTGAGTCCTCTTCTTTACGTCTTCTTGGATTATTATTTACTACTAAACTTTCATGGAAACCACACATACAATCGATTGCTAAATTAACATCCACTAAGATTGCTTCTCTTTATTATACTTCCCATTTTCTTGCTCCTGATTTTATTATCTACTTTTACAAATCTCTTATTCGTCTTATGGAATACTTGTATTTGGGCTGCTCTTCTAATAATGCTCGTTTTCTACTAGATAAAGTCCAAATACCCATTGTAAATGTAGTTGGACCTGCTTTATCTGTAACGCTTGAGCCACACTATCATGATCCCTGCTCAAAAGGAGCTATTATCTCTAGTTCCATCAACTAAAACTCATTCTGGCTTGACTCTTCATTCAGCAAAGTCTAATTTGTTTACTGTATCTGTCCCTGTATGCTCTAAAAACTTTTATTTGTATAGTAATTTTCCCCACACTTCAACCCTTTGGAACTTTCTCCCATCTTCATGTTTTTCTAACTCATACAACCTACAACTTTAAAGTCTTCTGTCAATTGTTTCTTTGTTCAATAACTCTATTTTTTTTCTTCTAGTAAGTCCCA